CTCCGCTTGTTCTGGGGGTGGCTTTCCAGTAGCTGTGTGAACTCTCACTACTTCTCAGTGGTTCAGTGCAGGTGAGGAGGTTCAAAATATTATGAGGGCAAAATTAATCTTAGTCTAGCACCCGAAACTGTGGTGTGGAACAATTAAAATTTCAAGTCAAAGAAAAAAGCAACAGAGGAGAATGTCGCAAAGTTTTGAGACATTCTCTTTTGTCTTGTCCTTCTGTTTGAAAGTTCCTTCATTTATTCGCATCACAATCTCAGGTGTCACATTATGATTAATTATCACCAGCTCGCTTGCACACTCACTGACGTCAGGCTCTCTCCTAGTATATATTTAACACCCTTGGGTGCAAAAGTCCAGTGCAAGCGGCGCCAAATTCAGAAGAGTGACTTCTGAATTTAGCTCAATTCTTGAAAATAATTACTCTGTGGCCACTTGACTTTATCAAATATTCGCCGCTGTTTTTGAAAATAGGTCATGCGTCCCTGATTACCCCGGGGCAATGCATACCAGTTCAATATCACTGTATACACGTTTGCAAGTCCGGTCTCAGGATGCCTTAGCAAGGCTTCGTAATTGGATTAGGACGCGTCCAAACGCACCCCAGCCCAGCAAGATGGCAGTGCACTGAAGCCGGACTTGCAAACATGTACTATAGGGGAATTAAAGTACTACATGAAAGATTGTATTAAAATATTTGTACTTTACATTGAAAGTACATTGTATTCATAGTACTTTACTTAAAGTACAGTTAGTCTCATTTACTTTGTACTTTATTTCAAGTACCTTTTAGATGTACTTTGCCCAACACTGCTGTCAACAGCCATGAACAATGCCGGCAGAATTGGTGCCGTCTTGAGTGACGACGTGGGCAGCGGTGGGCGGAAAGGAATCCGAGGTGCCACCTACTCAAAGCTCTGCGAGTGGTTAATTGTGGATGCCCACGCAAAGGACATCCCACCGAGTGGACTGATCGTGCTAGAGCAAGCGATTTGGGCTCCACTCTCTGCCACCACAGTTTCCAGCCAGTAATCGGATGGCTACCACGCTTTAAAGCAACGTTCAAAGAGAGCTCCGGTGATGATTACGACGACGTTGTTTGTGCTTCACAGCCAGTGACCTTTGGAGCCCTTATCGAGGCGGTCGACGCCTTGCGTACGAACACAGCACGAAAACGTTAGTGACGTCATTCGTCACGGTATCAATGCTTTTTCATGATTCACTTCCAAAGGTGTCTGCCTAGTTTTACCCCCGACGTATGTACCCCAAATCAGCACTTTCCACTGCACTTGTAGTTATAATGACAGCATTTCAATTCCGAGAGAAAAGCAGAAATAAGGGCAGTCACTTGTTCGAGTTAACGGTGCCGAGCTGTGTTCGGAAGTTCCGAGCCGAACTTTGATGGTTGGATGACATTGAGGCCGCCATCTTGTTTATCCCCTGCAGAGGGAATAAACACGTTTTCGCTTGTAGTCAGTTTTATGTTTTCTTTTATTTGTTTGTGGAGTTCGATATAATGAAAAAGTACATATAGCAAAGTCATTTCCAATTCGAGCTGACTTTATTATAACTAGGCTAGATTTTTTTTATATTACCTAATATCTCGGTTTTATGTTCATCATTCTCGGATGGTTCAAATTAGCCCTCATATTTTGCATCCCTCTGTTTGTTTAGGCCATAAACCGCACCATTTTTATTTCAGGGTAAACCGTGCCATTACGACTGCATTCACATACAAACATCATGCTATTGTAAATTATTTACGTTGAGTTAAAATTATAATGGCTCAGAAATATATAAGTACCGAATCGGGGCTCCTGAATTATTGGTGACGATATTCACAGGTGCGAGGTCAGTCTCCAAAATGCTTATGCAAATAATATCCGAAGTAAAACCAAGACGAAATAAACTTGAAAATAATACAAAGATACCCATATGCGACAGTACTGGAAGAGGGGCATAAAAAAAACTGGCAAAAAAAGAAAGAAAAATAACTTCATAGAAAATTAAAATTCCCAACCTCGGCTGAAAGCTGAAGCTCAATTTTTTTTCTTTAAATATTTTGGCATGTTTACGGTATCGTTTTCTGATCGCACCGCAGGCGGCGCTACATGGCGCTGTTGAGGTGGGCTCCAAAGAGGATTGTCTCTCAGCCCGCAGTGTAAGCAACAAAACAACTAACAATGCGACGCTATTTATGTCGTGCGTGAGTGTGAGTGTGTCTGTGTGTGAGTATTTCACCGAGAGCTAAGCCACTAGTGTGAGCACTCAGGCTTTCAGAGAGGTTCCGTCGGCGCCGCAAAGTTTTGCAAAAGTAATTGTAATCGTGCCTGAAATTTTGCAATTACTGGTGCTAGAAAGTAATTAATTACAATTACAAATTACCAAGAAAAGTAATGAAATTACAGTAATTCAGTTACTGTAATTGAATTACTACCCAAGTATGCATTGGACTGAATAGTATGTAGCAACAGCGGCATCACTAGGGAGAGGGGGAAATGGGGTGGTCGCAGCGCAACTTCGAAATTTATGGTCATCCTATTCATAAGCCCTGGAACGACAATAAACTTGCCCTTGTTTTTTTTAATGTGGCAACGCATGTACGACAATTTGTTCTCTTCAATGTGACGAGAAAGTGTAATAAACAAATTTGCGCCTTTCCCACGCCATCTGGCGAAGGCAGTGGTGGGCGACACAGAATGTATTACTCGTTGCTTCGCGGTGATGTTGCACCGAGGAACTTGGCACTCACTTTACGCCTCAACGGCACAAACATCGTCGCGCATAGCGTCTGAAGAAAGCCCTGCTTAAAGAGATACTGAACTGAAATTTCGAGCTCACTAAACAAGGCCGGGCGGATAGACGGGAAGTTGCAAAACCAAAAAATACCACTCATACGGCGATATATCTAGCGGATCGCCGTATTTTTTGGAAAAGAAGTGCGCGATTGAACCCGGCCGACGAGGCCGACGAGACAAGGCACGTCACGATTCCCATTCTCTCTCCTTCTCGCTACGTCCCGTCAAGCTGGTGAACCGAAGCTTGGAGGAGAGAAGCGAGGCCACTTCTCCTCATTCTCAAATTCTCCCGGAGGACAGTTGCGTCAAAGAACTCGCTTGATCGCGCCCTTCTTTTTCACAAGTACGGCCATCCGTCTGAGATATCGATGTAAGAGTAATGTTTTGGAGTTCGTAGCGTCCTGTTCCACACTTCTGCAGCCTTACTTTGCGAAATCGAAATTTCGATTCAGTATCCCTTTAACTAGCACTCCAGCGGGAATGAAACGCAAAGCTTCCATCTCTCGAGGTCGCACGCAGCCCAGCTTTGACCCCGCCGTTCCGCATCGTCTCCCCGTTTCTTTTGAAGCGTCTGCTTGTTTTCTTTGCCTTTGCCTCCTGCACGCTTTTCCACCATAGTGGTCTGCTAGAGGCATGCTCTCGGGCTGACCTTTCTGTCTTTCAATGATCCTTTTCCGCCAAGCGTGCGAGCACCCTTGCTAACGCCTCCTAAACGACGAGGCCGTGGTGCCGGATTTTTCACGTCATTAGAGTGTTTTAAGATAGGGGGCCACTAAGAAATAGGAACTCACCTCTGCACATGCGTTGTACCCGAACTGTGTTTTGGGTTTTGGGTCGGTGCTTGCCTGTAACACAAAATTTGAGAAATAGTAGCGTGGGGCCCCCACTTGCTTGGGGCTGGGTTGTGTTATGATGCCTGGAATGTGACTGGTGTGTTTAGCGTCCCTCCCATACATCAAAAGTGCTCCCCAAGTGAAAACTAATGGCGTCACAGAAACCAAAATGTCCTGCTGTCGGATTTTTTTTTTTTTTAAATACCCTCGAGGTTACAGGGGCATTGCAGAGGGGAGCGGGTTACGGGTATATATACAAAAATAAAAAAAAAATAATAATAAGAATTTAATGGTAATTATAAGTTACTAAATATTGATATTGTTAAGGCAGATTTAAAAATGACTCAAATAAAGTTGGGACCAATGCTGGAAGGTGGTTCTAAGAAGTTTGGGGTGTGAATGAATTGTGAAAAGTTGTCGTTTTACATAATGGTATGCCTATCTTATGTTGCTAATTGAGATGCAGTGATATGTAGGAAGGAGGTATTAGTAGCTTTTCATGTAGAGGAGGCTTATAATAGATTTTCTGAAATAAACAGAAATGAGATGCGAAGTTAGGCAGGTTCAAGCTACAATTCATACTAAGTACCAGTGCGATGGTACTTAGTATGGGGTGAACAGATCTATTTTGAATTGCTTCAACTGCATGTGTTAATATGTCAGTGTCATAGTTGGGGCCCCCTATCCTAAACCTCTCTACTAACCGGAGGCCCATGCAAGGCACATACTTAACGCGAGTGTTGCGTCAGCGTTGAACTTGGACTTGTGCTCGATCAGTAAGGACGCGCAGCCAACGGCTGATGCAGCACAACTCTGTTGTGTTGCAGGGGGAGTGTTGCCAGACCCCTGTTAGGAGCCAGCCATATTGCACTTTCCGCATTAAAATTTCCTCCTACAGTCAAATCCCCCTTGAGCAAATGCCACTTCAACAAAATTTCCGCAACAATTAAGTATTTTAGATTCCCTGTGTGTTGTCCATAGAATGTGATGTATAGAAAGTCTCTGCACAGCAAACAACTTTTCGAACCCCACTTCCTTCCCTTTGATGACATTTTCGTAAGTAAAACTAATCTCGGTCATCTAACTTATGAGCTACAGTCACCTTATAAACTAAAGTCATCTTTTCGTTTGATACCGCAGCTCGGGACGTTGCAAAACGGCCAAGGAAAGCGCAGGTGCCGTGCAAACTGCCGCTCGATGGCTGGAAATGCGATATAAGCATCAATAGATGGCGATGACGACGTAGCGCGGCGGTCCGCGAGAGCTCCAGAGCCCCCAAACTCCCCATAGGAACTGCGCGTTAGTGCTGCAATTCCTTCGTCTCATTTGATGAAATGTCTAAGCCAGGCTATTTTTGTCCTTGCAGGTTCTTTACGGTGCTTTGCAGCTACCTACTCCTGGGCTTCATGTACAAGAGGATTGTGATGGGCGCAAAGGGCCTCGAGCAGATCCCAAACTACAGCTTCTGGAAGGATTTCGGCAACCTGCAGGCCGTAAGTGTGGCCCTTACTTTTTCGTAAAAGGGACGCGCCACGCTCGATAAGATGGAAAGTTTGGCTGGTTGGTATAAGCGTGCGTTACAGAAACTGGCCGAAAAAGTACCAACAGATGAATAACCAAAACTGACGAAATCAAGCACTGTCTCGTCGTTTCTTGTTCTTCGTCTGCCATACCCCCTCGTACTGTTTTCCCTAGTATGCACCATGCTCCATCTCGCAGGCTTCCTGGTCAGAGGCACACACACGCAGCTCTGTGTGCTAGAATGTTTTGTTTGCACAAGAAGTCCTACAAAGAGGGCTCCTGCAAAGGTTACACCCTCGTGCCTGTCTCTCTGACAACACTGCGCACAATTTGTGACATGAAGCATGTAGCTAGAAGACGATCCCAGCTTAAAGACGACCACTAGTTGCCGAGATATGTCTATGTATGAAGTAATAGCAAATCGAATACAAATTTTAAAATTTTACTTTAAATCGAATTAGAATTTTTTTTAATGGGAATATTTTATATTTACTGGGGTTTGAGAATGGTAAGTTGAAAAAATAGTGGCTGGAAGTCTTTTCTAGAAAGCACATCAATGGAAAGGAAGTTTTATTACGTGAGAAACATTTGACAGGCTTGTATGAAGAAACTAAAAAAGTTTCCGATGAGACGAGTTGCGTAAATATAATGTAATATGGCAAGCAACGTAATAACTTACCTTGTTTATTTGAAAATAGCTGGAAGTTTTCCTTTCTGGCTCTGTCCTTTTGGATCGGGGGTTGAAGTGTATTTTTTTTTTACCAAAAAAGGCTGACTTACAATAGTGAAAAAAATGTTTGAGACCACCGAGCCAATTGAGCTGTTCTTGCACATCAACCGTTTCTCCCAGCTCGCCGGTGCAAAGCAGTAAACCTGACGAGCTTCCCTGCCTTACCAGTGACAGGCTCAAGTGCTTTGCACTAGAAATCAAAGAATTTTGAAGACATTATTTGTAATTTTCGAGTATTAGAAAAACTTTGATACTTCTAACAGTGGAAGTTTGGTCTCAATCGAACAGCAAACACTATTAGGAGCTATTGAAAGTTCAGAATATTTGCGCACTTCCAGTCTACTTGCATAGTCTACGTTTATCCTACAGATTTGTCAACTTGTTCACGCAGAAGGAGAATAACGAAAACAAATAACAATAATCTACAGTTGGCACCTATCCACCAGTTAAATTCAAAAGCAACTGAGTCATGATATATTAAAGGACACACAGGCAATGGAAAAAACTTTTTTTTTTAAACAGCCTAGATGGAAAAAGAATGTTATAAAACAAATTTACAACGAAGAAAAAATATTTTTAGAGCCATGTTTATGGTGCAAAGCGAATTTGTAGTTGGCGCCTGCGGGATCCGCTGCGGGTCACGTGGTAGGCCGGTGCGCCGGTGCGCCATCGCGCGGCGCTGCTGCTGCCTCACAGTCACACACAGGTCTATCGCGTCTGCTCGCGTTTTTTCAGGAGCTTCCTTTGGGCTCTAAAAGTTATGTATTTACTTTACGTAGTTACTTGAAACAAAGATGAATAGTAAGTAACTTTTAGAGGCCATAGGAGGCTTACGAAAGAGCGCCAGTACCACGTGACAAATAGTGGCCACTTTCCCGCGGCGCCCGGGGTGCCAACTACAAATTCATATCGTGCCGTAAATATGGCTCTAAAAATTTTTATTTTTTGTTGCAAATTTATTTTATGACTTCCTTTTCCCAACCAGGCTGTTTAAAAAAAATATATTTTTCCTTTGCATCTGTTTTTAACCCATAAAGCTGGAATTTTTTTTATTTTTATCTTAAATTCGAAGTAACGAGTGTTTTGTTGTTTTTTTAACTCAAAGAATTTTTATTTAGCCACAATATGCTCGATGTTGATTTAGTTTGTGATCTATAGCCCGTGACCAAACAGTTACGCTAATGCCTTTACACTACGGTATAAGTTTGCAATTTCAGACCAATCTTATTTTGCGTTAAAATTTTGAGGAACAATATCAAAATGACAAAGATTTGGCCAATATGTATGGTACTGAAGACCCAGGAAATAGCGGCAGCTTCGCAAGAACTGAAGAGCTTTAATTCCCTGTTGTGCCTTTCATGTGCCTTCTGGTGCACCGTCAATCGCGCTGCACCAGAAGGAAATGGTATACCTGCGAAGAGCCGCACACTTGATAGGCACATGAAAGTAGAGGAAGAGTGGAAGACGAAGGTTCAGATATAGAAGAAGAGGAAGAATCTGTTTAGCTGTACACTAAAGAGAAAGAAGATTTCATTAAAATAGTTGCTAGTCCAGCGGTGTGTCTGCCTTTTTTGTTCGTCTCTGTGTGCGTGTCCTTAAAACGTTCAGCTGGCACTTTAACAAACTTTTCACGAGTAAAGCCCCTCGTTTCCAATTGAAGCACCGATGTAGAACACACTTGCCACACTCACAGAAATCGGCAGCTGCAAGCTCATAAACAGAAAACCACAATAACCACAACAATGAAACCAGCCAATTTTTCGTCGTCATTCTTTCGGAACCGCAAGCCGCAAATACTGATTCGGAACTAAACGGAACGGAAAATTTGTGCGACTCGATTTGAGAGGGTTTCCAACTGTTCCATAGCCGCGTTTGGATTACGAACTGCAAGAGGGCGACGGAAAGACGAAATCGTCGGTCGGGAAGACGTCTTCGCTTTTCTGTTTCCTCGCCTACTTTCCACCCAACTACACAACTCCTGCGCACTTACGACCAATCTGCGCAGGAGCCGTCTCCGTGGTTTCAGTTTCGCTTGCTCTCTCTTTTAAATCTAGGCTCTATAAAACAGGATAGATTGTCGGAGGAATTGATGCATAGCGGCAGTTGGACGGTGACTTGGGCTACCTGACCACAAATTTGTTTGTTTGTTATACTTCAGATTATGTTGTTTAAGTCTGTTTACTCAGATTTAACCGCTATCTGTTTATTTACATAAAATCAAATCCCGGGTGCCCTTTTTCTCCCTTAAAATTGAGACTAAATATCGCAAAATGACCCTTTTCTGAAATATATAAATATAAAAAAAAGGACATGTCGCGGTGTTAGGTCGTGCTTTTAACGAGAAAAAAAGGCACGCATGGCTGTAACTTTGGGTTTTTTGTGACGCTTGGGGTAGATAGATTATGTTTGCGCCATAAAATTGGATCCTTAGTGCCCAACGTCCATCAGCAGCTGCTTTTCTTTTCTTTCTTTTTTTCTCCAGAACATTTATACATTTGAGCTTTTGTTCCATACGAGATGCATATTCTGCACCAGGTGCATACTCTGCACATATAATAATCTCATTCACAGCACACTTCGAAAAATTCCTACAAATAAAATCACTATTGATATTCGATTCAATATTTGGCTTTTTTTTTAAATTTGATTAGGTATTCGATTCGATAACTACTATTCGTTATTCACACATCCCTACTTCCTACATTGTATTGTTTATCCTTCATAGTATCTAGCAAAGTGTCAAGCATAAATTTGTGTAGAGCAGTTTTTTTTTCTCTATTCCTGAAAACAAAGGTGGGCAAGTTTTATTGATCTTGAGAACTAATCTACGAATGGAAAATATAACTGAATATATAAAATGAACAAAAAATCTTCATAAGCTCGTGCAGTTTCATTGGGAAAGCTCCACGACCAGTGTTCTCCTTTAAATTATATATGTTTGAATAGACACTTTATGTGGAGGGTAATTGATACTATCTTTGCATTCTTGGATAAACCTTGCCAGTACATTCATCAAGTACTCAAAAGAAAGAAATTTACCTGCGAGTGTGTCATGTTGCCAGATCTGAAAGCGGAGTACTAATTTCGGCGCTTCCCACAACGTGACACTCGTAGATCGGGAGGGGCTGCCTCATGGGGGACTTAAGCAGAACCCTGGTTTAAAAATATGAACCAAAACAAAATTGTTGAGTTAACCTAGGATAAAATATTAAGCGATACATAATGGGCTGACACACCTGACCATATGATAACATATACGGCATTAAAGGATTAACAGAATCATACACTATTTTGTCTCTCCTGTGCCACTAAAGATTATTACAATTATTAAATAGGCATGTGCGAATAATGAATTTTGAGTTTAAAGCAAATTCGAAACGAATAGTGGTTTTGGCCAAATATTTCCAAATCGGATATTGAATAGGTAGTTTCTCCAACCTTTTCTCTACTGCACTATGCTTAAATGAGAACCTAGGTGAACTAGTGAAGGTTGTTTGCAAGCTTCCAGTTGTCCATTTCTAATCTAAATTAATTTTAACTTAACTACACTAATGGACCATGGCCTCAGATGGTTGAATGCCTACATTAGGATGGCAAGTAAACAACACATTATACATCAAATATCACCTCCATGCCCAACTATACCTAATCGAGGGGATTTATAAATATTTTCGCTATATGCAAATATCTTCTTAAATCTGGAATTAGAGGGGGAAGAAAAAAGAAGACAATAATGAATTATGAATGCAAGTTGTCAGAACATCTCTGCCTAACATACTCTTGCCCAATAGCCAGTTTCATTTTGAAAATTTTACAGTTGCATAAATCTCGACATTCACAAAGTTTGTTGTGTTTTTTGGTCCTTTTATAAAAATCAGGCGTGCGCATGCACCATCCTGCTTTGAAAGCGTGCTTTCCTCTTAAGCAGATTCATAGTTTTCAAAGTGTCAATTGCGATGAGTTAGGCACGTTGAGCATGCTCGCTGCCGAGCACCGGCGCAGCGCGGAGAAGCGACGCTCGAGGAGCTCGCCCCTGTGGGCGACACTGCTCCGCAGTGCACTAGTGGGTAACAAGTACGCTCGAGACTAACCCATTGCAATCGACATTTCGAAAAACATGAATATCACGGTTCATCTCAAACCAAATATCGAATAGCATATTATTCGAAACTATTAGAAACTTTGAATATTCTCATAACCATTGTCTTTTTAATATTCTCGATATCATTGTCTTTTAATATTTCATTTATGTAGCGGTACCGAGGCCTCGTGAGACCTTCTGGTCTTTTGGCTTGGTACTGCAGTCAAAATGTACTTTCTAAACAAACTAAAATAAAACAAAAAAAATGCAGGTATTTTGATTGTTACATCGTCATTGCCGTCATCCTTCGGTCGGCGATTTTGCGACATTTCATCTCGGCTTGGCTTTCAGGACGGCTGCAACTACCTGTGCCGGTGCCAGTGCGACGGAGCCCACGACCACAGGGCCTACAGGGACATTGACGACAGGCCCCCGCGACCGGAGGAAGACAGAGACGACCAGCTGCTGACCATGTGAGGCGGGAGGTCCGGGAGTCCCCCGTAGGCCTCCGCAACGCCGAACCCGGCTTGCCCGCACATCTCGTCCCGGTCGGCCGCGGACCCCGCCACACGGCCGCCCCAAATAAAGAAGCACGGACGGGCAGAAACGAAGCGGAAAAGTTAACGTCAAAACGTGCCTTTCTTTGATTCGCTACGGTTCGAAGGCCGGTTCGCACGTTGGCGTCCTGCGATTGACCGCTTGCAACGAGACCACATCGGTGCCGTATGTCAAGTAGGCCCGGAACGCTTTTGCTCCACGTAAATACTTCACTCACTGTTCTTTTAATAATGGGCTCAAAATAATTCAAACAATCTTATGCGCTGAGAGACTGAGGGAGAGGAGGAGACGAGAGCGCGTGGCGACGTCAGAACACCCAGCTCTGGTTGGAATGATCAGTGGGAAGAGCTAAACGTAGCCGTCTTTGGCTGTGTTCCAAATCTTACCCAAATGGATCCGAGTTACTCCTGGGATCGTATCACGTGACAGCACAGATTGAAAAACGCTGGACGCGGGTAGGTTTTAGAACGCCAAGGGTACAAAATCCTTACTCTGGAGTAAGATCGAGTAAATTTTGAAACACGGCCTACGTCTCCACCGCACTCGTCGAACACGTTAGAGTGCCGGCGTCCGGTATTTGACTTTCGCATTCGAACGCATTGGACGAGCATTAGGCCTAGCCATATATCATTCGAATGAAAGCAGGGCGTTCTGATGTCTCCCCGCACTGTCATCTCTTCTTCCTCAGTTTCTCGGCGCATAAGTAGGGTTCCGTGTTTTGATGTTTATTTTTATTGGAACTCGAGGGTGTTTACTGGCGGTTTATTTTTTTCGACAGATTGGGCGTTTTTTGGTATCCTTTTTTCGAGTGGGACGAGAAATCGGTGTTTATCGAGAAACGAGACAGTTAATTTCCTCGAACACGCTTGTCCCCAGGACACTGGGAAAACGTGCCGGTACCAATAAAAGAAGGAATCGAGATATGGGTCCGGTTTCTGAAGAAAGAAGTAGCCTCGTAGACAATCGAACGCGGCTGCGTTTGAGGTAAACGCAAAATAAAATTGCGGTTACAGATCTATTTTCCCGCAAAGCTCAAGTTTTTTAGTCTTCCCCGACTTGGATCGAACCGGCTCGGGTGTTGATTTTCAGGGTTTATCGACATTTCTCGAAAACAGGTGATCCCAGTTATAGTGTATTCGCACGAGAGGTGTATCTCCGCGGCGAAAACTTGAAAAACTGGCTACGTCCCAAACCTGCGAGGAGGATAAGCCACGACGGAGGGGACGACACTCGGAGATAACCAGGCTAGCATTCGCACGGCGGAGTCTGCTATGCTTTCCGCTGAGGCGTGGCGAAGAGCAAAACAGCGCTGGCTCGTTTGTCGCCATTTCTATCCGGATGAGGCGACGGGTATTCTGCGAGCCGCCGACAGGCCTTCTCCAGTTATCCGCGGAGTCCAAAGAGTGGCGCAAGTCACGTGACCTACAAACTCGATGACGTATGCCCACTCCCAAGGCTGCTCCGCGGGAAAAACTCCGTCGTGCGAATACACCATTAGGACCTACTGTTCCTCTTAGTGCGTAGATATCTCGCAAATGCTGCCAAACCCTCGCTCTAGCGAAGCCCGGGTCCGAAGGGTCCAGGACCCCCTCACAGACGGCACCGACGTGCCATTTTGTCGTCTCGTCGCAAGCGGTTACGAGAGGAAACGGCACTGTTCAGCGCCCTCGGACACAACTGTGTGAACCGATCCGAGGGATGTGTTGCAGTTGTACCGTAAATTGCCGGAGGATTTGTTTTCTGGGGCTTCGTAGCACGCCATCTCTCGATGTTGCATTGGGTGGTGAGTGGGATCTGTTCTGTTTGACTGAGGTTATGTCTTGATTTCTGATAAAATTTTGCCCGATTGCTGATAAAGTGTGCCATTGCCTCAGAGACACGCTTTGCACCTGGAGGAGTAACTCTGAGCGTGTTGCGCCGAGCAAAGGCTTAAGGCCGGGTCGCACGTTGACCTCGTCGCGCAGTTTGCACCGCGTCTAGTGCATAAGTGAGGAAAGGCAGTCTCGGTCGCGACAGAGCGTCGATACGGTGCCGACGTGAAGAGTGAGCGTAGCATTGCGTCTATAATGCTCAGTTAGGGTTGCGCCGCACGTGTGGCGGACAAAAACGAACCAGAGCGTGTGATGCGATCTCTGGAAACGTTGCGCGTATGGGGAGTTCGCGAGGATTTGGAATGCAAGTGGGCTGGTAACGTCGCGAGCACTTTGGAAGGGACGTTTTGTTCTAAGCACCGATTGTACTCTTTCCAACATTTGTGAGCTCTCTCTTTTTTTTTTTCCTTTTTTTCCGTTATTGCATTTAATGGTTGGTTGAGCATCTGGGGGTTTAATTGCATTTGATCCAATAGCTTGTCCTAACTGCGTGTCCTCCTCGACGGCCTGTGTTGCAGTTGATGGTTGAGTTACCTTGGGAAGTTTTGTCTATGTTCCTAGGAAAACGAGTCACTTACTGTGGTTCTTGTTGTCAAAGCAAAGTGACATATATTGTTTTCCGCACATTGCAATCATGTTTCTTTTGTAGTTCCTATTTATGAACCTTTTTTGCACCAGTCACCAACAGCGAGCGTTTTAAGTTTGTATCAATGGTGGGTAAGCTGGTCCTTCATATTTTTATTTATTTTTTGACAAGCCACAGCTCGTGGGATACAATGCACAAAAATGAACATTAAAAGGAGACTGGAATTTCGGTTTGTGCTGTACAGTTGCCGACCGATTTTTTGGACTTTATCGAAAGAGTCCGAATTATAAACCGGTCCGAAGAGTCCTCAGATTACGAAACTTGGCTTTATTGAGCCTAAATGGGCTGAAGAAAGTCACTGAGAGTACCTTGTTCCATGTTGCGCTTGCAGACGATCCGCTGGCATTCCTGCCAGCATAATGCCCTCGCCCGGCAAAGGTGAAAGAGGTGGGGCCCACGAGGTCCAAAGCATATATCGACGCAGGGCAAAATGACCAGACCGCGAGACACTTAGGTGCCAAGATTAAAAGCCGTTAAAAATGTACACCACACTTGACGGATGGCACAAAAAAAAAAAAAAACATTGGTTGGAGATGGACAATTGACCAAATAAAAAAACCTAGACAATGATGATGATGCGTAGCAAAAACAAAATGCATAGCATAGCACATCTTGCAGCTGGTTTGGTAGCGCTGCCAAACCTATCCAATCCATCTGAAACATGCAGCCGAGCTCACGGTCAAGCCAGCAAAAAATCGAAAATGGCAGCCGCTCTGCGGCTGCCACTCGTAACTACTTTAGTCCAAAAAATCTTTCGCACTACAAATTGGTCACGGTTCCTCGTGGATGTCCAGAATAACGAGCAAGTTCGAATTTTTGGCGTTCAAAAACTCGGTCGGGGACTGTTTTACAAAAGTCACTTTTGTAAACTTTTTGTGCATCTCAGATCTGTTAATTAAAGCATTTATTTTTAGTGTAATGCGACTGCACACTCAAGAAAACAATGCTTGGGGTTGCTTGTCAAGCCCTTCATTCAATGTGTTGTAGTATAATATCTGCAATTTCAGAGAGAGAAAAATGTGTTTGTATGAGTTTTTGACTACAGTTGCCCTTTATTCTAGTCATAAAAGTGCTGTGGTGTTTTTATCTTCAATTTTTATAGGTGGTCTCCAGGTAACCAGTACACATATGCAAGCATACATTTTTTTTTTTTTTGCATTTCATTTGTTGTAATGATCGAGTCACATGCCTGCCATTAGTTTTCGTTGTACTGTTTCATCGAACGGCGTTTGGCACTTTGGGCAGCTGTGCACATCTGCCAAGCTGATTTGACAGACAACAATAAAGTCTCTCGATTTACAGTCACGTCCGTTTTTCATATTCTCTGAATGCACCTGGGACAACTCGCACCAGCGGTGTGCACATGGTGCTGAAAACGAGCATCACACTTTCTGCACCAAGTGGCAAGGGAAGAACGATATTACTGCTTTAACACATTTGGTGTTGCTAGAAATGTGCCTCAACTGTGCTTTGTTCAGCAGTCAACGAAAGTAGCAATTCCAAACTCGTAAGAGGAACTTTTGGAAATACGAGCTCTGCACATGCACAGAGCATGTGCAGCTGGTAGCATGTGCGTGTGCAACAGGAAGATGTATGAAAGGCAATGAACGTCTGTTTGCCACTTGTGGAGAAACGGAAACGGACACCAAATTCATGGATTGGCTAGCGTTGCCAATGGCACTGAGATCGGAACATCGAGAACCAGGGTGTTTACGTTGGGCTTAAAGAAAATTGTGTCACAAAAACGCCTTGGGACGTTTTTTTGGTAATGAACAATGGCGGAAACATTGCTTCCAAATTTCCTTCTAAATTTCCTGCCTCGGTATTGGATTGTTTCCTTCGCCCTGAAATTGAAGGAGTGGTGTTTGTTATCTTACAGCTAGCATTATTTAGAAAGCACCATGTCAAAATACTTTGAGAGAGCACTTGGGAATCCTTATAGGGAGTATTCAATGGGGGCCATAGCTGTGTGCTCTGTAGTCAAGCGTGTGCTGACAGCAAGTGTTAGCCAGATTCCTTTTGCACCATCAAAACTATTCATAACGGACGATAAGTTGCTCTACACACAGCTCTTGCTGATGACATCTGAATGCTTCCTATTTCTTTTTGTGCACAATAGTCCTCCAAAGATTAAAAGAAAACAAAAAACAGTGAATTAGCCTGCTGATATAGCCGATAGGCCTGCACTAGCGCATAAAGCTTAGAAGAAAAAACAAAAGAACTTGTACCATCATTTTTTTTTTTTTTACTATGCAGTATTGCAAAGTTGTGCAGTGTGTGCACACTTCAAAACAGGCTGCAGCCAAACATGTAGGTATGTATGTTTACTAGTCAGTTTCTACCGACTTAACCGTTCATGCTGATTTCAGACAACTTGCTAGCATAAATGTTTGCAACGTATGTGAAGCGCTAGGCAATGTATATTGTATGGGCATGATTGCAAAGCTCTAAAAGATGGTCTTAACTAGAACAAGCAAGCATGCTCCTGGAGAATTCCTGAGCATTAGGTCTTGCTCAATCAATGGCAGTTCTAGACCAGTGGTTCTAAAATGAGGGTCCGCAAAGGAATTGGGATCCGTAAAGCCCTGGCACAACAGTCAAGCCCGTCAATAGAAGTGTTTTTTGTTTTTTTTTAGATTGAGAAGAAACATTTCAATTTTTGGGCGAGTTTTCTCGTGTGTCAATGAGAAAAGTCTATACTTTACACTAGCCCTTAGTTATCGCCATTAATTAAATCATTATCATAATTAACCTATACATTTCCCTTCCCCTCAGCATGAACGGGGTCTTCCATCATCTCCGCCGATCCACAAGGGGTCCGCGAAACACCAATGGTTGAGAACCACTCTTCTAAACCTTTCAAACATTCCATACCAAGGCTTCTACAATCCTGTGTTAGGGTCTACAATCAGAAAGGGCTCAACATAGTTGACAACATTGGTAAAATATTACGCGGGAAATCTCTAAAAATTTGACTGGGCACCGAAAATTTCAGTACCAATCGTGCGCTGAGCAAGGTAGCACAGAAGTCTGCGTCTCCATTCTTTTTCTATGTTGCTTTCCTTTACCTTATTGCACTTGCATAAATATCCAATGTTTGTGCACTTCGTTGCACATAAAATGCCCACGCAGTAATCCAACTCCTGCCACGTATGGTGCCATACCCCACCACGCGGACCAAAGCTGCCTTTACACAAATGGATGCAAATATTCGGCTCCATATGTGGCAGGAGCTGGGACAATCAATGATGCACTCGCTGAATGTTTGAAATTTCATTGCAGGAAAGTTTCAAGTGTAAGCTATTTAATTTTGCCTTGATTGTAAAGGTAAATTTTATGCGCCCACTTGGACATAACTTAAACCTACAAAGCAGATACCTTATTTTTGTCAGATTTGCATTAGTCACACTCTAGTAAGGCCAAAGATAAAATTAAGAGTGCTTCAAAATACTGACAGGCCACAAAGAGGGCTCTTAGCATGCAAAGTTACTTATTTATTTACAGTCAAACCCGTTTATAACGAACAGCAGGAAACGCATCAGTTCAATATAGTAAAAAAACATTTACAACGAACTCCCACGACGAGTTTGTTGTAAGGCAAGAGCTTCTCTTTCTTTCTCATCTCTTCACTTCTGCCTTGCAACAACGCGCTGTTAAGTTTTTTTTGTATGCGTGCAGAGTTTGTTCCTTTTAGCTTATCTCTCTTTCTTAATCGCTTCTCTTCATTGGCCAACGCTTTGGGATGAAAAATTGTTTTTGTTTCTGTGCGTGTGTGCAGTGTATTGTTTAGCTCTCCCCTTCTGAATCGCTTTTCTTCACCCAATTTTGTTCGCAACTTGAGCTTTTGGAATTTTCTTTCTTTCCTACTTTTTTGGGGAAGGGACAGGCTAGAAGACGATTGTTTGTGCGTTTTTGAAAGCCTTCTGGGCGGAAAGTTTGATACAGCCAATATGTTGTTCGTTATAAAACATACTTTTTACATTAATTTTTATTTAAATTTTCTGCGAGTTCGATATGGACAATAATTCGCTGTACACAGGTTCGTTCTAAACGGGCTTCACTGTATTTACAGAATGAATCTGCAATACCAAAGCACTGTACATGTACAGCACAAGAACAAGTCAGTCCTCATTCACGCTGCACAGGTAATAAAATTATAGTAGAGGCTGCCATATAATGTTAATAGACACTTTGCAGCACCTGTCCATGGGTGCCGCCGAAACCGACCTTCAGTTTTTGTTTCCTCTTATTGCGTTTACTTCACTTCATCATTATTATAGCAGGCCAGGTTATTACCATTTCAGGTTCTACTGTGTCCTTCTCTCCAGCAGTGGCTGATGTGGAGGCTCATCAGCGACTGTTTCAGAGGCTCAGCATCTCGGTAAGGCAAGAGGAGGTCAGCAATGGAGGCTGTATTCTGGCACATGTGCGAAGCATCCGTAGTTTCGGGTTATGCAAGTTAAGACATAACAGTCATGCAGCTAGATTATGCCAGTCTGTTAAGCATAAAACCATTACATCTTGAAAATATTTCTAAAAAATATAATGGCTCCACTATTTACAACTCTGCCAACTTTATTGCTCCATAATGCACAATGACAGTCATGAGAGGCATCAACCGGCAAAAGTATGCCCGTGTACATACTACAATGAATATGTTGATAAAACAGACTGCAGGGTCCGATGATAGTTTAGGCCCTCTTCCTCGCTGGAAGAGCCTCTAGTAAATTGAGCAAACATGCTTTTCACCGGCTGAAATGAAGTGCACAAATTAGAATGAATTTATAAATGCCACAATGTAGGTGTGATGCACAATTGTACAGGTGGCTTGTGAGAATCAAACAATCGGACACAAAATCATGCATACCTCGAAGCACTCGGGGAAGTGACTATCTGTAGCATTTTCAACTGCATATTGTATTATTTTAACACAAATATGGTGCTAAAGCTGCGTAAATTATATATAAAAGCATTAAACAACTGTTATTATGCACAAAATTTGAGCAGTGCAGCATCTTAAAACATAGCAAAATGCATAAAAGTTAAACGTTGCATACTGTCTCACAGTCCCCAAGCAAAGTACCCTGCTGCATTGCATATAAAAAATGAAAAGAAAAAAATATGTATACAAAAGGAAAAAGGATGTTACAGTATCTGCAACATACCTTAGTTCCCAAAGGTAGCATGATAACCACCGCTCTAGTGAAACAAAGATCACACAATTAGTTGCCTTTGCAACTAATTGTGGATTTCTGTTCTTTAAGCTACAACTATGTCACTTAGGGAAACCACTTAGTTGTGCTCTGGGCAGCTGCAGCTACGCGACGGCACAGACCACTGCACATCATAACAAGTGTAGGTAAAATAAACGGATGTGGCAAACAACAACGGCAGTGAAGTTGCGAGAAAAAACTTTTCATTACTATCGTGGCAAAGGCAGAGGTATCATGGAATGTAATTCAGCAGCAAGCTATACTCGTCACATTAATTAAGAAAAAAAGAAGTTTTGCACATCGTTCATGTGCTGCGCGAAGCAGTAGTTCTTGGAAGGTTTGGTTGTCGAAGGAAGAAACCATGTTTTTTGCATTTGTAATGTGTATACCTCGATGACATAAAGCCAATGCAGGATACATCTTAATTAATTATGTGAAGGAGAGATTTAGTCATGTTCTATGAGGAGCCAGACTTTTTTCTACTGCGGTTCTTGAGGCAAGCACAAGTCGATGTGCGATTGCAGCACCGCCGTTTCTAGTGCCACGGCAACTCCAACACGATAACTCAGGAACAAGGCATAGCGAAGCGGAGAAGATGAAAGACGTAACGATAATGATCCCTTTTGCTTCAATCCGTTCGCTCTCCTGACGTCCAACTCCTGATTAGCGCTCCAGTGGAAATGGAAAGGTCCCTGGCTCGATACCAGGACCAAGCGGATTTTCTCGGTCGCGCACCTGTCACTTAGCTGTGTTTGAAAATTTGTTTGTCCTTTGTCCCCCTTGTTCCCCTTCTCCAGGGATTATTGTCGTTATTCTTGTCCAGCTCGCTGCACCTTTGTGTCAATTGCATTACAAAGATGAAAGACTCGCGCCACGCATGCAGTTTCCTCGCGAGCAGCCGGGCCCTATTTGGAAAGTGCACCGAAGTGAAAAAAGACGGAAGAAAAGAGCATGTGCACTCGGCAGGAATGCCAAAAGCCTGAGAGCTCACTTGTTCAGCGCATACTAGGAGTAGAGCGTGTCACTGGCTTCTGGTATGTTTGATCACGTGATATGACCCGCGGGAGCAATTCGCTCTTATCCAGCGGGACGCATAGATGGCACTTGTGTGAGTCGGTGAGGAGAAGGGCACTGCGTCGGCGTTCGGCTGGCACTCACGCTTTTTGGTTCTATCACTGGAATGAGACCCAGAAATGCTTAGGTGTCTGCCATAAAACACATTCTGCACCAAAAAAAGCTTCAAAAGGGGGTTGGTCCATAGGAGATTGTACACTGCGATTCTTTCAAATAAAAGGTCAGTCCATGGTAGATTGAACACTGTGGTATACCTCCAAATAGATCAGCCAACGGTAGACCATTCACTGGTTTTTCCAAATAATACGAGATCAGTCCATATCAGACCGTACACTATGGTTCTCCCAAAAAATAGATGATCGATCCATGTTAGACCATAATCTGGTTCTTCCAAGCAATAGGAGATCAGTCCACGGTAGACCGCAATGAGTGGTTCTTCCAAACGACCTTTCCGTTGTCTCCACACGGCGCACCGTCGTCGACGTACCAGTGCGCACGCTCGCACTTGAATCCGCCATGTTCCGACTTGATATGGCAGACGGGGTGAACCAGCTTCAGGTTGTCTGTGGTGAAAAGAAGCTTGTAGAAGTAGCGTGCATTCAAGATGCGTCCGTTGGCTTCCTCTATGGCTTTGCCAATCGCCGGCAGTATGGACCTGGACCTTTCCACCCTGTGAGTAGAAGCATCAGAATGCAGCTGTGGTGCTTGGACAGCTCTTTGGGCTGCCCCTTTGCAAACACTGTAAGTAACTCCACTTACGCCAACTATGTAAGTAACTGTGAGTAAGAACTACAGTTAATGGCCGATTCACACGACGAACCGGTCCGCGGTCAGATTAAACACAAGACGATATGTCTGCGGTTCGTTCGTCTCCCAAGCGCATCCACACGAGGGAGACGACGAGCAGACGCCAGCGAGGACGGACCGAACCTGTTCGCATCCCCACAATGCCGCGAAACTCCCAACATCTCTTGGACAATGGCACTGTGGTGCCGTTGTCCAAGAGATGTTTATCAACGTTTGCTACTGCGATAAAGGATCATATGTCGCTGTTACGTTCAGAGCAAGACAGAACACCGTGATAAGCTTGGCACGAAGTGCCACTAGCCTTACTAACCCAAGGCATGACAATAACACAGGCATGGTCCTGCTCAAGAAGGCTTCGGCATAGAAGCGACGAAGTCCTGGGCTCACAGAAGGGCGTTTGGAGATGCCGTCATGTTCTCCGTGCTCAAGCAGAACACACAAGTACACCACAGCCACAAGAATTGTCTTGCTTGGCGAAAGGCTGATTGGATGTGCAAGAATTATTGTGGCGTGCTAGACGAGTTTTGACAGAAACTCGGAGGAGTACCGGAACCTGGGTCGCATCAGCCGAGCAAAGTTTCTGCAGCTCCTTTCATGCGTAAAACCAAGGATCGCGTGATAAAATGAACCAGCGAACGCACAAAACACAACAATGCACAAATTTTGATTTAATCGTCTGGAAACAAAAAAAACATTGACTTGAAAAGCGTTGTCTGGAGACAGTACAATCACCCGCCAAACCTCCGCGAGTGAAAAAGTGCTTAACTTTATCAGTCCGCGCGTCTGCAGAGGAGGTAGGGATCTCAAAAAGCAGTGACGTGACAATCACGTGATACATGGTTCGTGGACGAAAATCGCAGTTCGGACCGTCGTGTGAATTGGCTATAAGTAACTGCACTCAAGCCAACTATAAGTAACAATTACTGTGATACCCCGCTCAGACAGGCACTTCAGAGGCCTTCAGAACAAACTCCTTCAAAGAATCAACGAATCAGCTTACGATTTCACGCTTATCGGCGAGCGCTGGTTCGCCGACCCTTTAAAGCAGTTTGTTCTGAAGGCCTTTATTGTGCCCGTCTGACTGAGGTATCACTCTCAGTAGCAATTGTAAATAACAACCACTGTAGCCCTAAGCAACAACTGTAACAACTACTGTAACCGAAAGCAACTACTACTATACCTCTAAGTAACAACTACTATAACTAAGTAACTGTAGCTCCAGGTGACAATTGTAAGTAACCACTGTAACTCTAAAGCAGGGGACACACGAGCGAAGAAAACGGGCGCCGCGCGGCAGTATCCATAACAACCGGTGCTGGCATCCCTACGTGATTTCCACACAGCGCCGCATCGCTCGGATCTAGTCCATACAGATGATGCCGCGCGGTGTGCCTGTGATGTACCTAGCGGCAAGTGCCACGTGGCACCCAGTTTCACCGCTCATGTGTTCCATGCTTAAGTAACAACTGTAACTATCATGGCCAACTTTCTGGGACATCCTGTGGAATAAAAAGTTTCCAAGGAAATATAAAAATTCTATTTGATTTGCATTCTATATTACAATATTTTGTCAAGAAAAGCAGAAATTTATCATTTATTATGATCAGGCACTGTAAAATGCCTCTTATAAATCAAGGTGGTGTGCAGGCATGAAAAAGGATATTTTGGAGGGAGGCCCTACTATGCCATCAATTATTTCCTAAAACCTGCACCATTGCAGTAGTGTTGCCACCTGTAGTAAGCACAATGTGTCTTTTATCCATACAAACTGTACAATGAAACGGTGAACGTACAATGTGAGGGCCTACTAGAAGCATTAGTGCAGGCATTCACAGCGTCCAGGCGTGATGAACGTCTGAATAGGCAGAGTAGCCAGCTCCCTAGGACAGGAGAACGGAAGTGTCTGCAGCTCGCTTGCAAGGCAGGACGGGCGCAGTTTCTTCTCAAGCGCTAGCCATCTTAAGAGAATGACTGGAGTGCTCCAACCTGTCTAGAGATTTTATGTTGTCATCCAGGATTTTCCCTCTATAGGTCAAAATCTTGATTTGCCCTGGTTATGTCATTATGGTGCCCTGATCATGGCATTTTCAATCTCTTTAGCTTACTCATTCACAAACAATGAGGGATGGCTAGACTTAAAGTTAGCAAACCACGAGGGTTCCCTTGAAAAACCCCAACTAAACCGAGCAAAAAAAAAATTCAACAGTTTGGCATGCAAGTTTGCAAGCTCATGTAGAAGTCTGTTTTGATGGTAGGTTTGCAGCAGACGGGGCTCCAATGGGAATGGCCTGGGTTCAAATCATTCTAGTCTAGTTTTCATTTTATCATTTCCTGCTATGCTGGAAAAGTAGCTTTCTCCTCATTTACCGTGTGTTCTAGTTTACAACTTTCCCAAGTCTAGAAGGCGCATAAAAGCACCTGTAGCAAGCTGCAACGAGTTGGCCTTACAGTAGCGCTCGAACCCTCCGTATCGTCGACGTCGGTGCCCGCGACACCAGTTATTGTTTTCTTTTCTTTTGGGCACAAGTTTGCCCCATCAAGCATTAGGTTTTCTCAGTTATTCATGGTCTGTCACTTGTCATCTGTAACAATATTTAAATGGGACAACTCTGAAATCAAATCTTTTCCGGTCCAGTTTGTAGGCAAAAACACATTTTGCATTCCAGGTCTCTTCTTTGAGCAACCCATACCTCCTGCAACTTCAGCACAATGCACTCATTAAACAAATGCAACGTTATACAAAAGTTGTGGACCACCGCATCACACTACAATCCGTTTCCCCTTACGTCCAGCCACAGCAGATGCTACGAGCCATTGAAGGCGATCCAAGGTCGTTTGAGGGTCATGTGACCTTCGAGAGGGTTCACAGTCACGTGCAAAGACCATTTCACGTTTAGAGACCTGGATTAGCTGGGACAACTCGTAGCATCCGCTGTGGTCGGACGTAAGGTGAAGCGGAGTACAGTACAACCTTATTTGCCTCACCCTCGCAACGTACCTGTGGTCTAAATTCCAAGTACTGAAACAGACCAGCTGTTCTCGGCTACCATATGGATTAATCCTGTGGACTCGGCTGTCGCAACTGGGCTTGCTGAACGTTCCTTGGCAGAGAAACTGGCCCTTCTCACAGCAGAGCGCTTCCTTTTCTCCGCGCACAAAGTAGTGGCCGTTGTGGTCGCCTGCCCTCAAGAGAGCAGAAAACTCCTCAAACAGCTGGCTGAGACACTGCTTCCCATTCTCGGAAACACATTTCTGTAGATCTTCTTTAGACTGTAAAAACATTAAGAACAAAGTACACGACACATTGAGTGGCCCTCAAAACTTTTTGAGCTAGGCACAGAACTGGGTCAGGTTCTGAAAGAAAGGCTTTCGAGCAAAATGTGAAAGCCGAAGTTTCACTCATGGGGAATTTCACCGATAGATACTAAGCAGCAGACATGAAACAATTGTGTGTGATCGAGCTCCAATAAAACAAGGCGTGAAAGGTGCTTTTGAACTGCTCTTTATCTACAAGTGGATCATACCATATGACCAATTGTGTGTAAGGTAGCTTAATTAAGTGTCGAAACTGAGCGACTCCGACATCTCCCAGGCAACAGATTTCTCGCAAAGTTGTGCAACAGTCAAATAACGCTGTGAACATGATGCTCTCACCTTATAAAAATATCCCTTGATTCTTGTTTTGGCCCTCTCTCTCATTACTTTTCTCTTGGATGTGGCCCGTTTCTCGCCTGAAAAAAGCAAAATCGAGATTGGACGCAACAAAATAATCTTTGGGGATATGCTCACCTTCGAACCATTTGGGATCTTGATCTTTGTTATCGGCCAACAAAACATGCTCAGGAACCTCGAGGGATTCGATATTCCCCAACATTTGTTCTATCAACTGACCCTTGTAAGGTTCAAGTGCAGCTACGACTTCGTTTGATCTGGATGCCAACAGTCTCGTGAAGTGACCAACCAATTCTTTAGCCTTCTGCGGAATATCTGCGGGTGAGACACAAAAACAGACAACCTATTTTTTAGCCTGTTGCGCGACCAAATTCGGCTTTTCGTACACGTACACTTGATCGTCTCCGACGGCCTCAAAACGCTGAACACAGTGTAGTCGCCGCAAGTTGCGAGGTACTCGTCGTCGATTTCTGTACCGTCTTCCAGAACTAAACTAGCATTCTTCGGTGGTATCTGAAAATGTTGTTACGTAAGCACTCATACGTGCACGAGCACGGATCAGCGAAAGCGTGTCAATACCCCGAAGAGACTGTGTCCGCTTGAAAGAAGATCGCAGCAGCTCGACGCTGTCACCTGCTTTCGATCCCCCTTGAAGTTTTGTAGAATGTACGGTCGGCGTTTAGTCTTCATGTCGCTCGCTTTGTAAAGTTAGTGGAATTATCGGAAAAGCTGCCACTGTCAAGTTACAATACTATAAAAATATGAAGCTCTGCACTTCGAAACTTTGAAGCAGCACACACAGTTTCTTAGTTTCTTCGCGGCTTGAGGTGGCTTAAGCTATTACTTGACTTTGACTTAAAAAATATATTTAGTGTTTGGCTAGTTCGGTCAGTTCGAGAGATTGATATTTCGATCATAGAGTTATATGATTTCGAGCACTGATTCTTGTATATACACAAAATTTAAAACATTTTTATACCGCTGAACGGCTAAAACATTTAAAAGCTCATATTTTTTTTTTAAACTTGCTGCAAATTCGTTGCTAGGCAACCATTTTTTGTTTACAAATATGGATGGCGAGCCTCGCGGAATTTCGCTGCAGTGCAAACAGTGCAGTTGTTTATCGACTTTACAAAGCATTTCAAACTAAATTTCTTTACTCCTAGATCACGTTGTAAATGTTGGTGCAAGGCGCAACATGAACTATAACCGGCAACGAGAACGCTTACGGCAAGCGATCGGGAGACAACTCGAGGTAGAAATCGAGCGTTCCATTGGCGAGTGCGAGCGCAGAGATGTGGACGACATAGCAGCCAAGATATGTCGCTCCGCGAAATGGAGAAAGTTTCAAAAGTCCTACCTGCTCAACCTGGATCCGAATGGCAACCAAGACCCCTCGCCTGCTTTTCTGTACCGTGGCCGCGACGTCAGCGCACGTCCCAGGAAAGGAAGTACCTCTTCGTTCGCGAGCATCGTCACCGAGAGCTCCTTCGGCAGGGACGATATCAACCTGACGCCGGAAAGGATTCACGAAGTGTGCAGTCTCATCCGCTCGTCCACGCCGTCGTCCAAACTCCACGCCATCGACATCCTCAACAGCCTGTCCTGCTTCGAGGATGTGGTCACTAGCGAGGAATGGCCTGTGCTCGAAGAGCGGATACGATCCCTGTTCTCGCACCCTTCGGAGGTCGTCAAACGAGAGACACTACGACTGTTCTGGACTATGCTTTCGTCCGGAGGAATCGTCTTCGAGAAGTCCTACACCAGCCTCCTCCTGGCGGCAAGGGATCAGGTTTGCAGCAAGATCAATAGGTCGTCTCTACGCAGATCACCAAGCTCGGCCACCGTAAATATCGTGGACATACTGAACACATACCACAGGAACCTTCCCCGCCACTGGTTGAGGTTCCACAGGAAGGCGCTCAAACACGTCGTCGAAGAAACGCTGGCGTTTATGGACGACGGCATCTACGATAACTTTTCGTGCATCTGGAAGGCCCTGTCAGCGTCCGATTGTCACGCTGTCTGGCTCGGGAACTGGACGTTCGGTGCCGAGAGCCGAGCCGTCGTATTCGGAAGTATGGCGGGCCACACCAACATCCTCCTGTACAGTGTCCAACTGGTGACAAACTTCAGAAAGTTCCCGGACCTCTGCAAACGGTACGCAAGCAGCCACGTCTATGCAGCCTGTATCCTGCTGAGGACGGTACGGTACGAGATGGGGCGTGCGCTCGTGGCTTCTTTGGGTTCGAGTGCAATGTCCGACAAAGCGTGGTTCGATGTCCTGACGCAGGTGATTCTTTTTTCGAAAGTCCTCTGGGCTTCCAAGTATGAGAAATTTATGGAGTTTCTTCCAGTGCTGGCTGAAATCGTGGGAGTAGTCTGCAGTGCCGAAGAAAATCCCATGTGCCCACAGCGTGCCGACAGCCTCATCGGCAGCTTTGTAGAAACGAGCAGAAATCTGTCAGATGAGCGTTGTCCCACACACATTTTATCCAAATGCCTTAAATCCATGTGTTCAACACCCGTCGGCCTATCCTTGATCATGAAGAGTTCGTACAGGGCTTGCAGGGTCTGTCAAGTAGTGCTTTCCATTACAAAACGCGCTATTGAGCGAACCAAAGATGACAAACTGTGTAAGACATGCGTGTCCAGCCTTCTTGAAGTGTGTGCGCATATTGCTGAAAACCCAGATTACCTTCTTTTAGAGGGTTGTGCAGCTACTGTAAGAATATTGTCATCCATTTCGCAGCTTGCAGCATCTCAAGAAGAGACCTTGGAAAGGAGCTTGGCAAAATTTGTGGCATCCTTATTCTCGACTAGTCTTGGAACAGCACTCTTGTGTGTTGGTACTCTTTCCCACTCGTGTGAAAGAACACTCATTAAGCTAGCTGATATTTACAATAAGGTAAAATACTGCTCCGTGTACATGTCACCACTATATTCCCAAGAAAATATAGTGCTCGAGTTGCACGACTACTTCTGGACCTCCGAATCTGAGCCCGTTCTTAGATTCGAGCTTGAAAGTGCGCAAGAGAAGCTCTTGTGTCTGATGTCATCATTTCGACAGTGTAGGGCTCTACTTGCACGGAAGGCTGACAGTCTAGATAGGGTCTTGTGGAATGAAATTGTGTTTCTACCCATGAACTATGTTCCAACTGAAGACAACTTAGTACTAAGCCTCAGCGTATTGAAGGGACTGCTCTGTTGCTTAAAAACGTACACGTTTCTCAATGCAAGGTACTTTGTAGAGAAAAGACTACAGGAGCTCCTAGTTGAGTTTCTGAATGATGATGGAAAACTAATGCTGAATGAAGTGTCTGTTGTTGTGATGGAGATCCAGAAACGCATTGCTCTTTATGGACAACTACTCACTCAGAGGGGTCATACAAAGCTTAAAAATGCTGTACATGTTTCTAGTAAGCTGTTTACAATCACCCTTAAACATGCCCACCAAAGAAAGAAGGAATTGGATACTTTTTTAGTAACAAGTCCAATGCACTCGGCAGCATTTGTAGATTTCATAGACTTTGAAGATGGTCAGACCTGTCCAATGACCCTGCTGGCAAAGCCGATGACAGATGAACAGAACTGTGGTATTCAGTTGACCATTGCCTGTGGCTTGCGTCTTGGCCTGCTATCTTTGGAAGAGCGTGCGCACGCTCAAAAACTTGAGAATCTTGTGAGGAACAGTCGCAACTTCTATGGTGCTTCTTGCTCAAAAGACAGCTATGACTTTTTATTGGCAACAATATTTTTGCTTTTGCAAGGAAATGAATGCAAGTCATTCCAACTGCACAAATTTCTCTGTGACCGCGACTGTTACTTTCTGTATTTCCACGATATGTATGGCATTTGTGATACTCTGGTGTGTGCTGCTTTCTGCCAACTGTTTGAAGTGGTTTTGCGAGAACACCTGCCAAGATTGTACCATGCCTTTCAGATGTCTCAATGTGCACCTAGCAGCATTTTCAAGCATTGGGTGGGGCAGTTCTTCTGGAACTACCTAGACTTTGACCAGATATCGGCAGTACTTCTCATGGTTGTGGTTCATGGGGGTGAACACCTACTGTATGTATGTGTTTGCATCTTGAGACATGTGGAGGAGAGTCTTTTGAAGGGCTTCAATGAGGGCTGTTTTGTTCTCACACTTAGGGAGATACAAGCTGAAGGCTTCAGGTTGTCATCATGGGTGGACTTTATTCATGCATTGTCTCTGCAGTACCATGATCTGGTACAAAAGACTCTGTCCATGTACAAACATTAGTGAGATACGAGACTTGAGCTTTCAAAGAAAGATCCCAAGCAGCACAGAGTTGGCCAGTCATCGGCCAATGGCTGGCAATGGTCCTTAGCCAACTGGCCAGACAACGGCCAGAGACTGGCCGGTGCCTGTCCCTTATCTGGCCATTGGCCAATGGCCATCAGCCATCGGCCAAGCATACGTCAATGAATGGCCACGCTCTGGCCACTGGCCAAAAGACTATCGCCAGACATTGGCCATTGCTTGGCCAAAATCCGTGCTGCTTGGGATGTCTCTATGATAATACAAATGAGTCTATTTCAATTTCTATTGATACCCTGACATATGGAGCATGTGAAATGCCAAGTGCATCAAGCACAGATTGCTGGAAACTATGCTTAAGTGTAGTTTGACAGCACAATATGCCACTTTCTATAGTGCCTCTACTATGTTTCCATGCTCGAAGCTCACACTACTCCAGATTGTTGTTGAAAGTAGGACCTTACTCAGGATATAGGAGACCAAAAGAGCTTTCTCGCATTCTAAAGCTTCTGAGTGGGCATAGAAGGTGCTATGTTGTGTAAGTCACCAATTATTTGGATTGCAACTTCTACAAGATTTTAACTTACATTGCTGGGAGTATGGCAACTTAGGCACAATGCACTTCTAGCATTTCATGTTGTGTAATTTTGCCAGTAAGGTGGTCTGTGCCTAATTCATAATGCCTACTCAGGTGTATCTACATAGCTGTGTTAAGAATATTTTATTGACAGAAAAATCACTTCGGCAAGTATACTTACAAATAGGCAAAAAATATGTCTTCTATATACCATTAGAAACACTGCCTTGGCTGTTCTTGCCCAGTTCTGGAAATAAAAGAGTACTATATGTTGTTATTACTGAAAACACAATGCCCAGAAACTCAAGCTCACAGTTGTCTATTGTTGACAGTTGTATGAACAGTACATCACCTTCTTCATCGGTACATAGTGGCCCAGACCATCCCACCGGGCAGATGCATTGACCGTTTGTTGAGCTGCATTTTGAGCCTTGAGGGCACTTGCAAAATAGGCTACATCCTGGGCCGTAAAACCTCTCTGAACAACCTGAAATTCAAATACATCTGGTTTAGTAAACAGGGCGATGTTAAAAAGTGACTTTCTGTGTGCTAATTTAGAATTGAGACACACAGTCACTTTAAAATGCAGTTAATAATAGTTTGTTCCCCAGAAAATATATGATAACTTCTATGAACATGCCACTTTTTTAAAATTATGTTCATCATTACTTGCCACCTTTTTCCACTTTAGCAGAGCTAACTGGGGGGATTGGTGGCCGTGTGGGCTAGTGGCAGTCTTGGGCAGTAACTAGTTACTAGTAACAGTAACATTACGGGGGAGAGTGACCCATAAAGCTAACTAACGGGGTAGAGTACCGAAAAAGGTCTATAAGACCTTTTTCGTGTACTCCTGTCCCAAGCCACCTAATAGGCGTATCCGGTATGGGCTGCAAAAAAAAATAATGAAACAGTTCAACCTGTAAATAATAAAACAGAAAAAAAAAAATAGAGGGAAAGCAAAACGAGAATGTGCGTGATGGTTACGCTTATCTCCTAAATGTCTTCCAATGGCGTGGCGACGGCAGAACAGTGTTTTCGCCCATACTGGAAGTGACGTCAATTCAAGATGGCGGCGCCCTTGGGGAAAGGTTCTCACCAGTTGGGCACAGTACTGCGGAAGCTGCAGGCGAGAAAGAGGAAAGCATCAGGCTAATCTGAGGGGGAGAGCACAGCGATGTGGGGTTCACAGGAGAAGGTCTGGGCAAGAGGGAATTTCCTTCTTCCCCTCTTTTTCAATTGTTCGGGTTACGCCCTTGTCCCTACTAGCCCCCGCTGCCATTTTGAAGGATACCACGTCGCTCGTGCCAGCCTGCAAACGTTTCAGTGTGGCGATACTAGTCGCAATGCGTTCGCGTTTTGTTGTGTAAAGTAAGGTGGAGAGGTGTTTGGTTGCCCGAAACAGTGAAGAAACTGTTTTGGCCTTGTTCTGCCGTGATGTCCAGATTAAAAGTCAGCCACGATGGGGGTGGCAACTGCCCGTTCGACGTGGCCAGGATTGTTTGACCGAAGGCGAGCGAGCCTGATACACGACGGATAGATTATTGTTATTCATGAAAACTTGTGCGGCTATCGGTTTTTGAATACGGCTTTATTTGCGTGGGAAATTGTGTTCGTATGCGCGGAAAATAGGTAAAACTATACGGCCTCGCGTGCTTGCATGGCAGGTTTAAACAGCTGATTACTTACAGCTTTCAGACTGCTAGTACAAATCAAAGTAGCAATATCACAATATTTTCGTAGTTAAAGGGCCACTGAAAAAGAAAAACAAACTTTTTAAGAAAACCTAATTGGGACACGCAAACACAAAAACAAATTTACGCGAAAATAATTTTTAAGAGAAATATTAACCGCGAGAGATTTAAAATTCTGCGCTCAAAGTCCATGACGTCGCAGAATGGTCATTCGCTCTTTCCACCTCAATGTGAAGGCGAAGCCGATCCCCCTCTCCTTCACGTGCCCGAAATGCCGAGAGAGAAAACAATGGCAAACTAGGTGACTACCGACTAAATCGCATCTCGCACCGTCAATATTGCCGTAAACAATTTTTTTCTTCACGGAAAATTAATTTTTTGACATGTTAAATGTTAAAAAAAAGCTTTTTCTTTTTCAGGTTTTTTTTAATTGTGTGCCATTTGTTTTCCAAGGATTGGTCATTTTAGCAACTACGTTCGACAAGGCGCGAGAAAATTATTCGGCCGTAAATATGACTTATTGAACAATACATTAAAATTAATTTCGTGCACAGATTTGAAGGTGGGTACTTGTGTGTTAGCAAATGTAAGAATCTGGCAGAACTTAAAAACAACTGAATGATAATTGCGATACAATCAAATTTGGCTTTCACATAAGCAGTCTGCACAGATGATCTGCTAGCGCTATCCAAGCAAACGGAAAGGGACTTTGCTTTCGCAAAACTGCTTGTAGACATGAAGCGGTTTACGAGCTGTCTTCAACCTGCTAGCGAGTTGGGCAGTCAGAAGACTTGCGAGCACTGCGACTAGCAATCGATGGACCCGTATTCACCGGATCGCCGACAACTGTGCACTTCGTGTCACATAAGCTCGCGACTGATCGGGAAATAGATTCTAGAATAACAGGATGATGTAACTGCAAGTATATTTACGTCCATAGCAACGAGCGCTCATTTATCTTTCACAAGGTTGCTACGAATGCATCACAAAAAACACATAAAGACCGTTCAAGGAACTAATCCACTCTCACCTATCATAAATTCTTCGTACCACTCTGTCTCTTGTCCTTACTCAGAATAGAAAAAAAAAACTAATTTCTCAGCGCGGGAAAAAGAAGTGGTTGTTGTATTTCCCTCACGGCCTCTTCACCACACCACAAAAGTCGTATCATCATACTCGTACTGGGGTGACGTAAACCAACGCGTAAACAAACTGGGAGCACCGTTGAAGATGGCGTCTACCGCCCAGTGTAGCCAACCCAAGGAGGTTAGAAGTACTAGGAGGGCACGTTGCAATACTGGTGAAGCCTAGTCATAAAAAGTTTAAACAATGCTGTGGCATCAGATCAAAAGCTAGACTGTGGTGTATTCTAGTACCCCATGGCTAGACGAAGGCTAGCTACGGTCACGTGATCTGGTCACGTTACCCTGGTAAGCGAGGAGAGTAAGGAGGAAAATGAGAAAGAGGCGAGGCATCAAGGGAGCATGGCTTCTGGAGGCTATGCGGCAGGCGTCATGCCCTCTCCTACCCATATATCCTCCCTGACCCAACCAGGATGGATGCTAACGGCTGTACCCTTTATATCGGGGGTAGCTTGAGCCACCTAGCCTTGAAATTAAGAACTAAAAGTATGATTTCTTTCCTTCGCCAATTTGCTTACCATCTGCAATTCTGTAACTATCACCAGGATGACCTTTGGGGAACTGGGCAAAAAAACTGAAAACTTCACCCCCACCCCCTCCCCCTCCTTTTCCCCCCGGCGAGGGAGTCGCCAATTTTCCTCTGGTCAAACATAGTCGGCGTTACCGGAAGACAAGTTGAAGACTTAATTTGGGCTGGAGCCACGGGGGAGGGAGTCCCGATTCCCCTCTGCCTGCCTATCCCCAGCTGTGTCAGTTAGTTGTACGTCATTCAATTCCCCCTAGATGATTTCCACCAGTCTTCCAATCTCCTCCTTGTTATTAAAATGCACTTATTGTCCATTCTTCCATTCTCGTCTGCAAACCGCAGCGCTCCGGCTAAATCCGTCGCCACCTACGGGAGGGTGGGAGTTAGGCCTATGCAGCTCAACACCACATGTTGCATTGTCTCGTCTCCCCCTTGGCATACAGCACACCGTGTATTTATGCCCTCATACGTTGTCCTATATGTCAAGCTTTTTGAAATAGCCTATCATAATAATATTATTATTAATCTTTATTTCTGTTGGGTGTCCAAAAGAGCACAGGGCCTGATTAGTGGTCCACTCCTCGTCATCAAGAATAAATGCAGGCAACGAAACAAGCTCTTAACTATGTTCAAATAATTGACCCAAGCCTATGTCGAAAAACAATCAGATCGCTAAAAATGTCTAGAACAGATTGTTCCAGCTTGTTGAATTTGCATTCCTGTTAGCGGTGACGTGTCATTCAAAGCAGAAGGGTAAAAGGGACTCTGAAATCGATTGGACCGCAGAGGAACATGAAAACAGACATTGCTTAGCAAAAGTGGCGAATCAACAGCACCATTCACAACCTTATATCAAAACATAAAATCACGTATTTGTCTTCTATCAAGCAAAGTACACAACCCAAGTTTTTGAAGTAATTGTTCGTGGTTGGTAGTAACATATGCGGAATTCCAATCGTCAAGTATGTATATGAAGCGTTCTTGGACACGCTCAATAGAGCATGATGCAGTAAGATTGATGCAATTCAATACAGAAGAGGCATACTGCAGCATCGTGCGCACTAGAAGGCACCAAAATAAACATACAAGACAAACAGGCGAAGGAAATCTTCTCATGAAACGAGATATCACCCCAAGGTTTCTAAAACAGGCCTTACAGTTAGTTAAAAGATAATTAAAATTGAAGCATCAATAGAAAAGGTTCCAAAGTCACGAATGATGGACACTCGGGTGATAACACTGCCACCTAGTGTGTAAGAGAATATAAGTGAATTGCGCTTTCTAGTAAGAGACATTGTTTTGTTTTTTGTTCATTCAACAAAAAATAATTCATTGAACAGCCCCTTTTAAATTTGTTGTACAATCGGTACACTTCGAAACAGTTTGATCTCATCCACAAACAAGAGCATTTTAGAATTTTTCACACACAGCGAAATGTTATTCGCGAATATCAAAAATAAAGTGGACCCAGGGTAATTCCTTGGGGTACTCCGGAAGGCAATGAAAACTAATGGGACATGGATCCTGACTCACAAACATAGTTTGTACTGCATGAAATATAACTTTTGAACCAATTGCAGTAAGGCAAGCACAAACCATAGCTATCTAGTTTAATCAGAAGTCTATTGTGATTAACCTTGTCGAATGACTTCGCCATATCAAAGTATATTACGTCGACTTGCTCACGGTCCTGAACCAACGGAACGGCATAATCTGAAAAAAGAGAGCATAGACTGGTTTCCACCAACTTGCCCTTCAGGAATCCTGTTGCTCAGGGTTCATTTCATGTCTAAAGTAACTATACAGACGTTTAAGCATCATCATTTAAAAAACCTTGCTAAAAGTGCACAACAATGAAACGGGACGATAACTGTTTACTATTCTAAGATTCCCTGGTTTATAAATCGGTACAACAACAAAGCGTTTCCAGATAGAGGGAAATATTCCTGGATGTAACGATAAATTAAATATACTTTTTTTGGTAACTGGTAATTGTAACGCGTTAGTGTTAAGTGGAAATAAGATGTAACTAACAGGGTTCCCATTTATTGAAAGTAACTAAAAAGTAATGTCGTTACAGGTACGATTTCTGGGTAAAAATATTCCAAGCACGACCACCAAATCGTCT